GATACCACCACTTGAGCTTGTAATCCAGACAACCTAATCAATGGAAGAAAATCTAAATATTAAAAACTACTACCCACTCTCTCTCTCTCTCTCTCTCTCTCTCTCTCTAACAATCAGAGAAATGGAAAAAGAGAAAAAAACCCACCTTATCTTCAACTTCCTCGTGCTTAGCTGCTCCTTTTGCCAGTAGTGTGAAATCCCCTGCAAATCCCCTCAATGAAGACTCATGTTCTCAACCATATAAAATCATTATTTTCAAGAAAAATAAATCAATTCAAATGAATTAGCCAGCAAAAAATCTCTTATTTATACAGAAGACTTGGAAATCCCAAATATCTGAAAAACCCCGAGAAACTCTTGCACTCTCAAAGGATTCAGAAACAAAAAAAGTTTAAAAAAAAATTATATATAAAATAAAAAGGAAACATAAAAAAATTCAGGAAAAAAGAAGCAGTAGGGTACCATCTGCCTTAGCAAACTTGAAGATGAGCAAAATGATCGCAGTTGTTACTGTACAAATCAAAACCAGAAATAGAGAGAGAGAGAGAGAGAGAGATCATACCTGGGAGGGGCACGCACCTGCTTCTTTCTTCTTTTTCTGCTGCTACATATGAGAGAGCGAGAGACGGAGACAGACACAGAGACAGATGCGTTCTTCTTAAGAGAGAGAGACAAAGAAGAGAGAGAGAGAGCTTTGTCAGAGAGAAAGAGAGCTGAGAAAGCCGGCGGCTATGGCAGTTGGGGAGATGAAGTGACTAGGGTTGTCAAGAGGAAGCGGCTATGGCTAGGGTTTTTTCCTGAAAGGGGGCTTTTTCATGTGGGTGGGATGGCCTTTTCATTGGGATGAACTTTTCCTCAAATTTTTCATTTTCAAGTTCCGTAAATTTAGTCGGAAATGTTTTTAAGCGTAAGAGGGGAAGTTCTACAGTAGCAGGAACTTTCCATTTTAAACTTACCAACTTTTATCAAACACAAAAGAGCTACAGTAGCACGTGAGTTCCTGCTTCTAGGAAATAACTTCCTGTTATCAAACACGCCCTAAAGGTGAAAAAGAAAAGTTCCAAATCACTAGACCATGGGAGTTTGCCCCTAGAGCACCAAAAACTAGGGTTCTTAGAGCCCAGGAGAATTATGATAAATCATGAAGAGCATTTTATCACGAAAACAATGGAGACCGTAGACTTGGTCAGCATGAGGATGCTAGACTGAGTCAGCATGAAGATGAATACCTCATGTGCAAATCACCCAATGTGGCGGATGCACATATGTGGGACATGTGCAACACATACAACACTGGCGAGGTCATCATCACCATCATCAAAGCCTTTTCTCAATTATTTGGGTGCAGTACAGAGCGTCACAAGAAACGCCCTAACACAAACGAATAACGTAGATTCAGGATTTATAGAAAGTTTTGACAAAGTTTTACGTTGGCTGCCTTCCTGATACAATCCACCTCCTTTACTCGAGCTTGGGACTGGTTTAGGAAAATTTTAAAGTCCCCACCCTTCTTAGGCCAACATCAGTGACAGGGGTATTTATACTTAAAAGAGATATTTATACATAGACCGTGACTTGACTAGGAGTTGCACTCTGCACTTCAAATGTGCCAGCTAGATTGAGATCATGCTATAGGCACAAAATGCGATTAACTTGAATTTTTTAGTACCCTTTTAATGCCCCAAAAGGGGTGTCATAAGAGTTCTTTGAACTATCTGTACAGTCCCACTATCCTTCTCACCGTCCAACCCATCAAATTGATGGTGATAATCCAAGTGGTCAAGTTGTTATCAGGTCCAGTGGATCATACTCAGGCTTGGCTTGGACTTGGTCTCAAGTTCATTTTCAGTTGTGGAATCACGAGTTGAGACAACAACTCATAACCAAATGAGGCTTAAATATTTTGCAGTAAAATCTCTTTTTCTTTTTAGATAAGACTCAAATAGCACTCAAATATGATTCAAATATTAGAAAGAGAACTGAATTTCATTGTAAAACTGACCTCTAGTGAGTTCAGTTTGTTTTTCTAAAAAAGACTCAAATAATACTCACTTAATTGAATATTATATAAAAGAATGGCAGTTCATTGGAAGACTGGACCATTTTTAACCTCTATTAAGTGGAGATGTTTTAGCATTTAGGACTTGAGGCACCTGAGCCAATTGAGCAAGTCCCTACTCGGGTTCTCTAGACAAAGGAAGCTAATTCAGATATGTCTGTCATGGTTGCAATTGGTAATTGTCTCTCTGGTTTTGGGGTATTTACTCTAAATTATAACTGGTAGCTTAAACTATTTCTTCTAGTTGATTTGCATGGTTATGTGGACAGATGTTAATGACTATAGTGTGTTCTTCAGTTTCTTTGTCCTCCTTCCATAGATTTGTCTACTTATGTTCTTTCCCTGGAAAGCAAAACAGAAGGATGAAGAGAAAGATGAAAGTCACCGATCCACTAGCCAAGTAGTCAGTCGGCCTGATTTTGCTCAAATGAGCCCCAATTGAGTTTGGGGTTTGAGCACTGGTTAATGATGGAGGTCAGATTTATGGAACTTAAAAAGAAGTGAAAGTTGTATTGGATGGTCAAAGAAAAGTCTTGAGACATGGATTTGGAAACAGACACACCAAGCATCAAGCCTAATCAACTCAATACATAGAGACTCAATGGGTCTCGTATGAGCGTTTGTTTTTCTTTCATTTTTGTTTTTTTGATCGATAACTTGTTTGCAATAGCTGTATCGGTTCATGAACACGTGCTAAAAAGATGCACCTTTACCAAAGAGATTTGGAGAGAAGATACATGGAGATTCAACACCCATTCCATCACCCATACTGACATATTGGTTCATGAAGAAATACAACAACAGATCCAAACTCAAACTGGGGGAGTCTCCTTCCCAGTACTAGTTTGTGTAGACGCTCATGATGGAATATTTTCCACCATTCACAATGTAATCTTTGACATAATATGGAATACAAGGATTTACATCCTGAAGGAATGATCACCCCTCCAACTAATGCATCCTGATGCAAGGAATTGGCCTTGGGTCGAGGCGGCAGCAGCATCCCTATGTAACCTTTCAAAAAAGTACCATTCTGATGGACAGGAAATGCCACTCGAATCAGCTGACAGTGACACAAGGAGGAAATATGAGTGAGAAACAGGGTGTCATAAAATGGCTACCATAGCCTCTTGCTTCCAGTTAGAAAGAGTGTGTATAGGCAACTGGTCTTCTAATTGCATAATTTTGTTTACAACATGCAAGGTCTTGGTCCTTAACCACTGTACTTTTTTATTACAGAAATACAAAAGGGTGGGTCCCTCGAAATCCCATGCTAGCTTAGGCCAAAAAAAAAAGAAAGAAGAGGTTTTAAAGTTTTTCTTTTAATTGGAAAAACAAACACAAGAATAAAGGAAAATAAAGAAAATAAGAGTCCTAATATGGGATGGTTTTAGGTTACATTTTACTTTGTTTTAATTATTTTTACTTGATATACATTTTTTTGATAAGTGAAACACGAAATTTTCTTCTTCTTCTTCTTCTTCTTCTTTTTCCATTTGTTCTTTCACTAGTTTCAACTTTTTAATGTGTATGATCACCATTATGGTATCCCAAACAATTTGTATAAAACTAACCACAAATGGACTTATATCAAACATTCAAAGTTCCAACATTCGTCAAGATAACACCGTGAGGCAGTATTCACCAACACAATATTGTAGGCATGATCAGTATTTCAAAAAGCGCTAGGCAGCCGTGGGGGTCCAGGCCGCCCAGCGCCTACGTAGGCGCCCAAAACTTGGGCGGCCCAGTTGAAAAAAAGAAAGAACGATAGAAGTCGAAAAGATATGACCATAATCCATATTTTTATACAATGCTAAAACAGCAAAACCATACAAGCATACACTGATAGTCTGATACACACAAAGTTAGATAGTAGAAACTAGAAAGTAAAAACTAAAAATAAAGAAAATAAAATATACAGAAATTCAAAAAATATACAGTCTAGGACACAATAGTCAACACTCAATACTCAACACCAAGAGTCAAGCACTCAAGCGTCTGCAACTCTTTATTCTTTAGTCACCATCATCATATGTCTCAGATTTGAGGCCATCATCATCAGAGTCATCTTCATCTTCAATATAACACTCGTCCTCCTCTATTTCTTCTAAATCTGTATCTTCCTCCTCCTCTTCGTCTACCTCCCTCTTACTATGTGCAAATGAGGTCATAGGAGTCTTGACTGCTCTAGCCTTTTCTATCTTTTTGTGCTTCTCTGAACTCAAATATTGTATAATTTCCTCCCTGGTAGCCTTTCGAGTTATAACCATACTTCCAACCCGGATCACCACTTTCAAAAGAACCTGGAGAAGATTTTCCATAGAATAAGGCTCATTTTCATCCTTTTCTGGTTCTTCTAAATTCAGAAATTGTCCAATCTCATCCCAAATAGCTTTAGGAACTTTTTTACACCTTATATAATTTTTATCGTTTGGTTTCGCATTATGACCATACTTCCACTCGGATCACTTCTTCTAGAAGAACCAAAAAAAGATCTATTGAAGTGAAAAGGATTTTGTTCCTGTTTTTGTTTTACATAACTCATATATTTCTTAATCTTCTCTCTGATAGCTTCAGAAACATTTTTACAAAGGGCAACATCCCCTTTAATATCGGCAAGATGTTTCTTAAACCGGTTTATACCCCCTTTTGTATCTTTTTCACAATAATTGCATCTAATGCAATTTTTGTCATTTGGATTCGGGTTATATCCATTTTTCCAACTTGAATCTCCACTTCGACTAGATCCTGAAGAAGACATCTCAAAATAAAACAAGCAATCTAAAAAATAAAGTTTTATACTTACTTTGATTGCTCGAACTCCAAACTCCCACATCTGATATGTTTTATAGTGCTAAAATATTAAAAAAACCACCTAATAGGATTAAAAAACCCCAAAACTAAATCTAAATTACTTGGGTGATGTTTGGATCCATTTTCCGTAACTTTGAAAAACACTTCGATCCAATGAAAATCACAAAATCTAGTTTTTTTAGGTTTATTTCTCTCTAAAATGGGTTCTTGTGGGTTTAGGTTTTGAATGAATCTAAAACTCATCCTTAAAAGCTTTTCTATTTCAAAAAAACTTAATAAAAAAAAAAACTCATTTCAGCCCTTAGGTTGGGCGCCCGCATAGGCGGGTGCCGTACTGCCTAGGCGGCCGCCTAGGGACTGCCGCCTAGGCCTAGGCGATTCGCCCAGGCCTTCTGGACCTCCTAGGCAGCCGGCCTAGGCACTGGGCGGTCCGCTTTTTTTAACAATGGGCATGATTGTTTACTAGTGCCCAACATGATTCAGGAATGCATGGGGGGTGAAACAAAGTGTAACGCAGCCTGCATGTTCTAAAGTTTGGATTAGGTTTAACTGGAAACCAAAAAAAATCAATCATAGTTTCCAGCTGGCCATAAGACAGAAAAGGAAATACAGATTAGCCAAGACTTGCGTAGATGGTGATTTCAATTCAACACTCCATGGTTTCTTTGAATTAACTCCACGAAACATTCCTGGACTCATTGAGACCTTTCAATTTTGTTTTTTTGTAAGTATTTACGAGTCTTGAGATGAGCCTGAGCAAAATCTGACTGAAGTTTCGTGAGTCAATGGTTTTTAAACTGTGGTCCAATAAGCAAAGGTGTGGCGGTAGTCAACACAGTTAACTCAAAACATGGATCAATATAATGTAATAAAAACAACGGCAACAAGAGCACTAAGAGTGTATAATCTGCTACAATATTCATCAATCCTCTCATACGGGTTAGTATTTTGAATATGCACGCCATGATGCATAGAATTTTATTTTGAATACATTCGGGCATCATTATTTGTAGTTGCAAGACATATAAAGGTGGTCAACATTATCATCAGAGCCCTTTCCCAATTATTTGGGGTCCGCTATGAAATTTTTGGCAAAGTTTTTCGTTGGCTGCCTACCTAACACAACTCAGCTCCTTCACGCGGGCTTGGGACAGGTTCAGGGAACGTTTAAGGTCCTCACCCTTCTCAAAACAGTAGGACACATAAAGGTAAGAACTAAAATTTGAATAAATTCTTGTCTCACACTAAACTTAGTCGTTTCCACCACATATTTTGATTCATGGACCTGGATTGCAAGAAGTCATTTAATTTTTATTCAAACTGAAGCAACTGTTCATAAGATGGATTAAATGCTTTAACTACAAGAACGCGCATACAAGTGCCCAAATAACCTCCTATGGGGGAGCATACATGTCAAAATAATAGAAAATAACAAATGGTTCCATATTTTTATACATGTACGAATCAAAATTGTCCTCAAGGAATATAGTTATGTTTTGGTGAATGCCATGAGTGGTAAGCAGTTCAGCTTTCCACTCCAAAGAAGTGATAAACAGTAGGTTGATACTTGAAAATTATTTTGTGTTAAGCCCTTACCTCTCTATAATGGATGAAAGTCAACTTCTTATGTTTCTTCACATCACAAAATAAATAACATGAAGCAAAGTAAACAATGCCAATGTTGTCTCACATAAAAGGATGGTCATGAAATATGAACTCCAAGATTGGCTAAAAGGGAAAACTATCTTGCTATAGGCAAAGAAATAGCTCCATATTTGCATTTGCAGTGAACTTGGACATAATATTGTATTGCTGTTAAAAGAAAAAAAGTGTGACCGATAACATAAAATTGCCGGTCATGGACTGCCTCATATCGCAATAGGCCACCATGTCTGGATTTCCATATGTAGTTCACTGTAGATTTGATGATGGGAAAAGAGTAAATCTGAGTTTCAACATTGATACAAGTTCACAATGAGCCTACTAATGCGACAACCATCTACCTTGTATGAGAAGACCAGCATGACTGAATGATGGTGATAGATCCACCAAAACGACATGAGACAGGTCTGGTTTAGTGATGCACGGTAATATAAAAGACCGACCAACTAAATGATATTTACACATAGCTTGATCATCATTACCAGAGAATACTTGAAATTAAGCCCTCAGGGAATATCAACTATCACAATAGGTATCAGTCATGCCTGAGTAAAGTGATAATGAAACCCTCAAAATATTGTCAGAGCAGGAAGTATGACCTAAATGGCCATGTCCTTTATTTGGAACTGCTTCGTAAGGCATAGTTTAGAAAGATAAGCTGACCTCATCAGCACCAATAATTGGTAAAACAAAGTGCATCAATCTTGAGCAAAATATTAGTTCCATACTCAACCGCATCATGCTAGCTGTTGCTCCAGGCCTTTTAACCATTGCTGAATCCATTTTTTAAGGTCTTAACATTCCAAATCCATTACATCAATAGGTTTTCATGCCTGTCAAAAAGAGCACCAGAACCAAACTATGACTTATTACAGTGCTTAAATCTCTTCCTACATAGTCATATTTCTCATGTGATGTTTCATGGCTAGATCTAAAAACTTGAGTTTCCTCCAACATCGTCGTCTTCCCATGTGATGTTCTGTGAGTGCTTAAGTCCCTCCTACAGAGTCACTTCCCCATGTGATGTTCCACTACATCCTTATGAAAAGCTGATTCCTGAATGGAGGCTAAAAATCTAAGAAAACTAAGTGACAGCTAAAGAAAGAATCGTAACAACAATATTTATGTGGAACAGATGTACAAGAAGAATGCTAACATTTAGAGGTTTGCATTACATTCCTCATGTTTTAGCTCAATGGGACCAACGCTGAGATCAAGAAAAGTAGAGGACATTGAAAAGCTATGAATCTAGGAGGGATTAGGAGTATGAATGAAGAGACCATCTCTAGAGAAAAAGCATGACGAGTATGTGCATCATAGAAACAGCACCCTTTGTCTATTAATCACATAACATACTCTAGCTATCAACTTAGATCTGACACAAACAAGCAAGAAAAGAAAAGCAGTACACACAAAATTTTCAGCACAAAATTTTCAACATGCGTCTTGTAACCCACTAAGCATTTGACAAAATTAAAGAAGAAAATCTACAAAACATAGATTTTTATGAAGATAATATATTAAATCGATGCAATCTATGAAGAACGAGCAGATTAAAACCTGATGGTTATGTTACTGCAATGGCATTAACAGAGATTTATCGCACACCCAGTCAATTAGGTGACGAATCCCAAAATGAAAAGACTGAAAATTAACAAGACCTCGATAATCACTCTCAGAGGCTTTCCAAAATCATTGTAACAGCAATAATTTGAAGGTCTCCAGCCTGCTTACACGATACAAGTTCTCAAAGTATGCCCACCCCATGCTCAATGCCACAAAAGCAGCACTGTTGTGACAAATTTGAAGAGGAAAAGGCGTAAGATGCTATCCACATCCAGAAAATCAAAGGTTTTGCTGACAATGGCATAGGAGGAACCCCAAAAGACCCAAAGATTCTGATATTTGTCTAAGAGGCAACCCCAACTCTCTGGGAACCACATATTTTTCTAAGAGGCATCTGATCTTTCCAAGAACCAAAACTTTGATAATGGTTCTAATATTTCTTAGATAATAGTTTTAAGATGAAACCTTAACTTCCAAAGAACCAAAAAGCTTTGAAATATCAGCATGCTTACGGATATGATGAGGGAATCTGTGAAGCAAATCCTGAGCATCAGTAAACCTGCCTTCCTTCATAAAGGCCTCAAAGATATTAACATACACTGCAGATGATGGGTTTTGCCCCAATGTCAAAGTCTTCAAAAGATCCATTGCATCCTCTGCCATTCCATTCTTAGATATATAGCCAATAAAAGGGTCCACAAAGGCTGGGAGCTTCTGCTTCTTCATCAAAAGAAGAAGCTTCAAAGCCTCCTCAAGCATTCGTCTCCCCAATAACCCCTCAATTAAAATCTTATAAGTAGCTTGCCATGGTTTCAAATGGGTTTTAGTCATCATTACACTTAGTAAGGTATATGCATCTTCAGGCCTATTCTGATTACAAAAACCAGCCACTAAGACCTCCAAGAGATCGGCATCAGCTTCAACACCCTTCCCCAACATCTTCTTAAAGCAAGATAAAGCCTCCTTCACTTCGCCAGCCAAGCAATGACCCTGAATCAAGATAGTCCAAGTTTTGAGATCCGGAGTACAACCCAAAGCTTCCATCTCATCCAAAAACTTGCAAGCTTCATCGAACCTATGAGCCTTGCACAACCCAAAGATTAGCTGGCTATAAGTAATATTATCAGGTATGAAACCAGCTTTTTCCATGGCCTCCAAGATATTCTGAGCCTCATCAAACCTTCCCATACTGGTCAGTGATCTATGAATTCCGTCATAAATAGATTTTGTAAGAGAATTACCGGCTCCTTCAAATTTCTTTACAACCCTGAAGACAAGGTCAGGACCTGGGTTACCACTCGTTGCGAGTTTCCTTAAAAGTAAGCCACAATGCTGAACAGATGGTTGGTATGGACCCTCAGACATGAATTCGTAAAGCTCAACTGCTTCCTTCAACATATTCCATTTCTGAAAGCGCCTGGAGAGCTTAACATAAGAGTCCATGTCCATATCAAAACCACTTTCCTTCATTTCTTTCACCATAGCCCAGAACTCCTTAACACTATCGTTGCGACCCAAAACCCTAATTATTGAATTGTAAGTGATGGCACTATGCCTGAAATTGGGTTGCCCTCCAACCCAACGGTAAAAGTCCAAAGCTTTCAATGGGTCCACTCGAATTTCTTCGAGAACTCTAAGTATAGTGGAATCTGATAAAGGAAGACCAAGAGAACTCAATTTGCATTTTACTTCTTCATTCCACTCTGAATCTACCAATAGTTTGATTGCTTCATTTAACAGTGAATTGGTGTGTGTTTCTCTCTGTCTTAAAGAGAATAATTCCCTCAAACTAGAAGCTTCAATCACCATTTTTTCTTTCACAAACCTTCCCAAAAGAGTAGGATAAGTCTCTTTGTCAATTTCATGCCCAACTTCCCGCATTTTGTTCATGACCCACCAAAAATCTTTCATGGAATCCTTCACTCCAAGGATTCTAAGCATCAGATTGTACGCTACACTGCTAGGCTTAAGCGCCATTTTATCACAAACCCACTTGAAAAACCCTAAAGAATTTCTAGGACTTTTCTCAAGTTCTTTCAACACAAACAAAACTCCTTCATCGGTGAGTTTGAGATTGAGTTTGTTCAACTGGTTTTCAATCTCTTCGCACCATCCTTTCTGCGAAACTAGTTTTGTGACGACAACGTGATCATGGGGTTTGCGCATTGTTGAGAAATGAAGCTTGAAATGGGTGTTGCTCGTGTTGAGTGAAGAGAGAGCAAATATTTCATGGCTGGTTATCGAGGAAGAATGAAAAGAAGGAAGAGAGAGAAAGCTTACCTGATAGTGCAGAGCCCTTGTGGTAAATGGGGTTCTCAGTGTTTGAATGAGAAGTGATTTCACCGCTCTCTGCATCCTGCCAGGTTATCAGTCACAGCTCTTATGCGTCAAGGAACGAGAGAGAGCTTCAGGGCAGGAGTTTCAGAGAGAGAAAGGGGCTCAGAAGGGTTTAACAGTTTAGGTGGGGTTTAGGTCCATGGTCCGGGTTTTCTTGCGCACTACAGAGACACATATAATGGAAAAATCACAAATAACCCCTAAGAAGGAATGTCCTATCCAACTTATCCCCGACCCAATGTTTTCTCTCATTATTTTCTTAGCAAATTATCCCCCAAGTAAAATAAAAAATAAAAAAAAGGATAAAATCCAAACCAAAATACCCTCCAGAAAATATACAATCCACCACAAAATAGAGGCGCCCCGGCACTTTTTTTGGAAAGCATCCGGTTCGACACAAAATAGGAAAGGTCCGACATAAAATAGGGGCAGTCTGACACTTTGCTTCTAAAAAGCATGCGGTATGGTACAAAATAGGGGCATTCTAGTACTTGAGGCATGCAGTCCGGCATAAAATGAGGGCGGTCCGACACTATGGCCATTTTCAACAAAAAAAAATATAACTTTTGACTTGAGGGTATTTGCTAAAAGTTCAATTTGGGGCAAAAGTTGTTAAAAAAAACTTTGTTGGGTGTAGGTTGTCTAGTAAGCTTCATTTTGAGGTTTTTTTATAATTTTTTCAAATAACAAAGGACACGGTTTCTAGACGGCCAGCCTGCATATTGTAGAAAAAAAACTTTGTTGGGTGTAGGTTGTCTAATAAGCTCCATTTGAGGTTTTTTTTATAATTTTTTCAAATAACAATGGACACGATTTCTAGACTGCCGGCCTGCATATTGTAAAAATGGGGGCTTGGCAATAAATATATAATTAAAATATAATTTGATTCTATTTTTTAGATAATATATAATTTTTAACATGGAGATCATGAATATGGAAAAAATAAAATTGAAAACTAAAAATAATAATTATATTAAGAAAACATTTGGACAGTTAGTTACAATTGTTTTTAGATGGACCACTTATTTGCATCCATCTTTAAAATAGATGATTTATACGTTTGGACCGCATAATGTAGAAGTGTTGTCTAACCCACATGAAACAATTTTCCAATAACAAAATAAGCAAAATGTTTTCATGAGGGCTGGACCGCATTTCTACATATGCGAAAGTGTAAAGCATCCACCTTAAAGATGGATGAAAGTAGGTGGTCTATCTAAAATTAATGGAAACTAGCGATCCAAATGTTTTTTTTAATAAAATTATTGCTTTTAATTTTTAAAATTTATTTAGTTTTTCATATTCTTGATCTCCATGTTAGAGATTACGTGTTCTTAAAAATTAAGACCAAATATCTATCTAAAAAATAGATTTTTAAGAAGTGCCACATTTCTACATGTGTGGACTTGGTCCGTATGCTAACCGTGTCCAAATACGAAATAATGAGTTAATAGAAAATTATTGGAGGTGAGGCATAAATATCTACTTAAAGAGGTCATTATAATGTAAAGAATACTATGATACATTATCTTGATCTCAAGATGGATGGATATGATAAAAAATGATAAGTTCTAAGACTAATGCAGCTTGTGAGATATTATCTAGGCCATCTAATTTTGATATTTTCATATATTTATAGATGGATGTGGTTTGCATGAGGTTGCAACCTTAGACAATGAAATTAAGGCACACGACACACCTTCAAATTTTATCTTTAATCTAATTTTGGTGTCAAAAATTCTTGGGATGGTTTGATAATCTATTTTTATCTCTAATAATAAAACTATAAACTTTACAAGTGGTTCAAATCAAGTAAATCTATAAACACATGAAAATCTTTAAAATGGACAGTCCAGATAATGTCTTGCAAGATAAAATATTTTTTGGACTCGATTTTTTCTTTTCTTTTCATATTCATACATCCTGATGTTGAGATGATCAATTAAAGGGTTTTCCAACATCAAAACAGCCTTTTATTATGGATTTTTGAGGTACACCTTAATTCTACATTTTAAGGTTGCACTCTTATATAGACTTTTTCCTTTGTGCATATGCTTGATTTGTACCATTTTTGAAGCTTTAACTAGGGGTAGGAATAGATTTTCAAACTATCATAGAGGTTTTCGACATCAAGAATCCATATTTCAACAGGGTCTAGAGATGTGCCTTACATTGATTGTTTAAGGTTGATGCCTAATGTAAACCACGCCGAAATTACTATAGCATATTAGTTATAGGTTATGTTAGGATATTAAGGCCTTACACATAAAGTGTTTCTTTAATGTATATTTTTGGAAATTTATTACTCTTAATTTGCAATAAAAGTTTTTCAAACAAGGGCATTTTTAGTCACAAAGAGGGGTAGAATAAATATTTCTATAAAAAAACTAGTGGTAATTAATACTGCATGTGGGTGATGTCATGTTTTATATGGATGATATCATTCTCCGCTATAGTCAATAAATATTTTTTATCGAGAATTTCTGGTTTACCTTTGATACCTAAAATACTCTAGCCAAAAAATTACTATATTTTAGAGTAAAGTTATAAAATGTCTAAAAATATTAAATACATTAAGAAAATGCTCTATATGTAGAAATACTACAACATAACCCATTAAGTATTTATAACTAACTAATGAATATCTACACCATCTTATTAAGCTACTTCTAAGGGGTGCACCTATCACAATAATAAAATGAGACCTCTAATGGCTATGGGAAGCGGCACCTGGTAAAAAGTACCAAATTTAGGGCCCAATATATGAATATCATAACTATGACATCGTATTAATAAAATAATTATAATCTAATAATTGTATATATCATTATAATAATTATGTAATTAGATTAAGTAGGTTAAAATTATGAGTAAGTTCATAACATTTTAAAAAGATTATTATCACAACGTTGCAATCTTTTCTACCCAGAGAGGTTATGAATGACAAACTTGGGGTTAACTCCATCTCGATTCTTGGTAGCAAGCATGTTGTCTTACCCTTCTTTCTCTGTCTTTTCCTTTTCCCTGCATCAATTTGTTATGGGTGAGGTTTGTATTAGGTGTCAGCCTTGTACTCTTGAAATAAGGTGCACCTCAAAATCATGTTGAAATTACATTTTTGGTGTCACAAAGCCTTGTGATGATATGAAAATCTATCGTTGGTCCCAATTATAAAATTTAAAGTTCTTAAAATGGTGATGACCAAGTAGATCTATAAACACTTGAAAATAGACGATCTAGATAATGCATTAGAAGATGAACTATTTTTAGGGCTAAAAATCCACATTGTTTCATGTCTATGAATCTCAAGGTCGAGATGATTGATTTGAGGATTTTCCAGCATAAGAACAACTTTCTCTAGTCGAGATGATTGATTTGAGGATTTTCCAGCATAAGAACAACTTTCTCTAGTCGAGATGGTTGATTTGAGGATTTTCCAACATAAAAACAACCTTCTCTAGTGGGATTTTTTAGGTGCACCTTACTCATACTGGATAAGGTTGACACTTTATATACATTTTTTCCATTTGTTATTGGAGCAAATCAATATTTGTGAACCATGATGCCACCAAAGCAGCCTTTGGCTACTGAACACTGGCTGGAAGAAATTATTGTGCTCATAGATCACATAATAGAGAAGTTGAGGGAGGCACTTAATAACTATTTAGCATATTATGTCAACACATGGAATGGTGAGGAAAATAGAGAATATCATAAAGAGTTTTGGCATAATCTAATAGACTGAATATCAAACATCAATCAAACATCACGAAAAATTCAAGCAATTTAGCTTGAAGAATTCGTTCTACTGGTCATAATATGTGAAACACGGTCCATTGAGGATGAGCAGATTTGAACATTCAGAGTTAATCCCACATAATTTCATAATAAGCTCCAAATTTAAATGTTTCATGGATTGGAGGACAATTGTGGAAAGAGTGCCTATAAGAGACAGGTGGAACTGCCACAAACTACCAATAAAGTTGCCAAGGAATGTGTACAATTCAATAAACTTGACACCAATCTTCTCCCCTGTCTAGAAGAGAGATGTTCAGCATTTAAAGTATGAGTTTCGATTTCGATTTTTTTTTTTTGGTGGTGAATGAGTTTCCTTTTTGCTGTAGAAAGTTAGTGGTTGGGGCGACTAAAGTCCCTTGGATTTGTAGAGATTATTGTGGTATCTTGGTTAGCAGTTAAAGGGAGGGCTGGACACAGTGTGCCAAGTCCTCTTTTACTTTTTATTTATTTATTTTTCCCTCATAGATAATAGTTTTTGGTTATTGTAGAGGAAGGGGGTTGTCGAATTTTTGTAAAGAAGTGGGTTATTTTGGGGGAAACTGCCTTGAGTAGGGCTGACAAAAGGCTTTAACCCACCCTAGTCCCTAGCCCAGCCCTGCCCTAATCGGGCCAAAGAGGCCATGACCCGGATCCGACCTTGGCCTTGTTCAGGCGGGCTGGCCCTGATACACAAAAAAACACATAGGAAAACATTAAAGAAAACAAACTGAGTGGGCCCAGGCTGCCTAGCACCTATCTGATCCTCAAGCTATAGTGGCTCGACCTTGGCCTAACTCTCAATCTATATTTTACGGTCCTTACCCTTTTAAGGCCTGGCCGACCAGGCCGGGCTGGGCTCCCTGGCCCAATTACCAGGCCTAGCCTTGAGGCAAATGGATGGCAGATCTGATCACGTTGCATGGACCGCGAAATTGGTTAATGATAACTAGGTAAATCAAAACACTTAAGGCGCTGAAATTGTCTGAGAACGATTGGAGTTCATTTGAGTCGAGTTGAACTTGTGGCAACTATATGTACACAACTTGGCACATCATCCCGAAATCAATTAAGAAGCTAAGGCAACAATAGTTGCCCCCACGCCTTAAGGGCATGTTTGTTACGTTTGAAAAATTATTTTTGGGAAAGTATTTTCATATGAAAGAATTTTTTCATGTGATTAGATATAGATGTTTTTTACACCAATTGACTCATAATTGGTATGAAAAAAATGCATTGAGACCAATTGGTATGAGACTCTTGTATCTAATTGTTGAGGATTGATGTCTTGTATTATGAGGAAATAGATCTGTCAAGGTAGAGTCAAAAGGACGACCCCGAAGGGCCGAAGGACTCGATATATATTGTTGCGACTCGATATACATTGTTGC